AGGCAGCATCTTAAGTAGAGAAGGCAATACCAGAATGCACTGCAACAATCAAATTCAATTGGTGGACAGATTATGGTGAAATATTGACTATAAATAAACTTGTATTTCAATAAAACAGACAAGTACTGATAAAAACAGTTTAAAGTAATTATCAATTACATTTTGTACCTAATATTTGTGCATTATTAATTTTTATGCTTTGAATATCATGCTGTTAGTTTAGCAACATGCTAACATCTAAACAAGTCTCCTCTGAGGTGGCGCACGAGTTGCTGCCTATGAAGAGTGTTTAAAATCAGTCATGTATGAGGATCTATTAGGATGCTGTCTTGGAAGGTGTCTATGTAGATAATAAATCTGCTGACTAAGTTTACAAATGGAGCTTCTGAAAAGAGAGGAACATGCGTCTTTCCTGATACCATCTTGGTTTGGATCTATGACCGGGCTTTGGGTCTATTTCCTGAAAACTGCTATGTCCCCTCTGCTCTGGCTTCCCTCTCTCACAGATTATGAACTAGGGGGGAGGACAGGTGAGACCGCCCATAATTCTTCCACAGCAGAGGGTCGATAATTTCAGCAAGGGGCTATATATCTGACTCCATTGCTTATTATTACACAAGGGTCATAATTCTCCAGCTCTGGATGTATAAGACTGCAGAGTTTCACTTTATCAGAGTCATTTGGCTAAACTATGACTTCCAACAACGCAACTGAGCCTCTCTTGTAACATGTACATACTTACATGGCAAATGAGAAGATTTTGAGTAAATAAATATTTCTTAACCGTCATAAAACTGTACTTTGCATTGTTTGCAAATAAAAGTAAATGAAACAACAACAAAAAATTAATGTGTATAAATACAAATATCTGAAATAGAGAAATTTACAAGTACAAAGTGGACAAGTATAATATAAATATAAATAAATAATTAAAATTCAATAAATAAATATGTAAATAAAAAAACAAAGAAAGTAAATAAGTAAATTGCTAATTACAAATAAGTATAAACAGATAAAATAATATGTAATTAAACAAATAAGCATAAATAAATAAACACAAAGTAAATAAGTAAATGAGTAAACAAGTGTGTAAATAAATTAATAGAAATTAACTCAAAATAAGTTTGAAGTAAATAAGTACATAAATAAGCATAAATAAATAAACACAAACCAACTATTTGCATTTTTTCACCAAAAGGACATTTTGACTCACATCTTGAAAGTTAATTTTGAATCCTGCTCATACACATGCAAAGTACAGGAATGTATGGCACTGCTTCAAGCACAACACGCCAGTCACCACGTCTCCATCTCATCCTGTGTGTGTTTGTGTGAATCTGGGGTTTGAATCATTGGTAGTCTCCCAAGCACCTAAGTTAACTTAATGTAAATTTGTTATTACTTGCCCTCTGAGCTCCAAAATCTCTTCAGAAAGCAGACTTCTGCTCAAACAGAATTCCCTGACATTTAAACTCCAAGAGAGGCCCTAAAGACCTTTCATTCAACACAGCTGTTTGAATAAACCATTAAAACTAATAACGACAAGACCTACAGCAAGTAAGCATGTTCGACAGGAGGTGATGGTGGTTTGACCTCTCCGTAAAATGATGCGAGGCCTGGTGGCTGACAAAAAGTAATCACATGAAGACTCTGCACTTACACAGGCACAAAAACACGAATGTACACTAAAATCCACATGAATCTTTGAGACTCCAGAGGCACTTCATAAACAGACCTCATCCAAATCTAGAGGCAAATGGAGACTTGCTTGAAATAATCACTTGTTCTCTCTCATATGTCAGCAACTGTATTGATATTCAAAACGCACTGTTAGCTGTTAAACATTCATCAAGACGGGCCAGACGGAAGCTTCTTAGCCTGCAGTAGGGCATGGGCTATGTGATCTGGCTCACAAACAAACAAACTTTTTTTATGCTAATAGTCCTAGACTAGTTTTTTATGCTAATAGATTAGATTTTCAAACACTGAGCCTGATTCATAAAACATGAGCAGAACGAATTTCTGCATAAACTGCTCAAGACTTTTTGGCCCACTGAATTTTTTTGGTGAAATTGGACTAGGATAATGTTGTATATACAGAAACATCCTACTAAGGCTCCCAGAACACTTCCTCTGTCACCCATTGGTCGGTTCCGTGCCAAATTCATGCCATTAGTTGACTCAATGCTGAACAACCAGATATATAGACTTTAATGCATCTCAGAACAGATTGCAATCCATCTTGTAGGGCAAAGATTTAAACTTGGTCTTTTTATAATCAGATAGATCAGATAAAGTAAAATACACACAAGTTTAGGAAAATAAATTAATACCTTTTTTCAGCAAAGACACAATAAATTGAAAAAAAAATGTGACAGAGACATTTATAAAGCTGCAAAAAATCCTTTTCAAATTAAAATTTCTGTTCATCAAAAAAATTCAGAAAAATGTATTAGTTTCCACAAAATATTAAGCAGTACAACGGTTTTCATCATTGATAATGACATGTTTATACAGCAACCAATCAGCATATTACAATGAATTCCGAAGAATCATGTGACACTGAAGTAATATTTCAATAATGGCTGCTGAAAATTCAGCTTTGCAATCACAGGAATAAATGGCATTTAAAAAAATATTGAAATAGAAAATGGTTAATTTAAATTGCAGTAATATTTTACAGTATTACTGTTTTTACTGTATTTCATGTAAATGTGTGTGTAAATATAATAATGTCTGTTGAGGGGGGGGAGAGAGAGAGAGAGAGAGAGAGAGAACGTTGTGTGGTAGTTCATAAGGAAACATCAACATAATTAAAAACATCAAACTGTAATATATAATGTGTCACAAACATGCAGAGAGTTTGCACAAAGAAACAGAGTATGACAGAGTAAGAGAGAACCTTATAAAACATAGGACATTTTAATATATTATATTATATAAATTATTAAAAGCTTTCACTGTTTGACATTTTACAGTATTACTGTTTTTACTGTATTTTTGATTAAATAAATGCAGCCTTGGTGAACAAGAGACTTCTTTCAAAAACATTAAAAAAAAAAACTTTTTCAGCTACTACTAAAAAACTTCTGATTCAGCTACTTTTGATTCATTTCAGTCACATCAATACTACTGACAGTAAAAAATGATTTTACACCTTAGGAAATGGCCTGAAGCGATGAGATTGTCTCTCTGCAGGTGAAAGCTTAGCTGGTGAACATGCTTTACTGTAACTTTTAAGTAGTGCAATAGACAGAATTTACACACATTATCACACACTTCCTGGGTGAAACAAAGACCTACTGAGAAACAAACGCGTACACAAACTTATTATCATAGTGACGTGACTGACAGGAGCTATTAATCATTGTCAGCGACTGAGGCAAAATCTGCATTGAGGCTTTATGGAAAATGGTTTGCGATAGCAGAGCAACATTTACCAAGGTCTAGCTCTCTCTTCATGTATGTGAAGCTAATACTTTCTTTCTGTAATAGGAGCTTAGTGTCCATCGTTGCTGTTTAATAACCAGCAAAAAGAAAAACTAGGAGTCGGGATCTCATAGCAAAATCAAGAGCAGCTCGTAATCTGCCTTGCAATCAGAATTTCCTTGCTGCCTCATGAAAAAAAGCAGACTGCCTCAGGCTTCAATATAAATGCAATAAGGTAAGGGTGGAAAGACAGAGTGTGTTTAGAGTATTGAAAGTGCCTGCGTTTTTTTCTGTGGTTGGAGGGTCTGGTTTCATGTTTCATTGACCTTCTTTGTATAAAAAGCATGGATCCAATCCTTTACTGAAGGACAACAGAGACCGTTACAGCCAATAGCAGACGTGAGTCAACAGCAGAAGATCAGGGAGTGGCTAGAGAACCCTTTAAGACAATCTCGTGAGAAATTACCGCTCTCAGGCGCCTTCTCTACCACTTAGATTCTCTGATTGTTAGGTAGAGAAAGGAAAAGCAATTTATCCTATTAAATTACTTCCTTTTTTTCCACTGCACCTCAAGAGGAATGTGGAAATCTACATTTTCATAATCAAATTGTTGGTGATTTTTCTGAACAATTACTTGACAAGCCCTATATAATTAAACCATGATGAGGTCAGGCGCATTTATTTTCATGTGCATAGAATGCATTATTTCAAAAACAGAGCAAATGATGAGATAAGTTAACAATAATAACTGATAAATTATATCAAAATTCTATACTATTTTGTTTATCTACACTACCGTTCAAAATTTGGGGTCTGTAAAATACTGTGATATAAATTTTTGGTCATACCGCCCAGCACTAACACACATACATATATGGAAAACATGACATATTTTTTTAAGATTCTTTGATGCACAGAAAATTGAAAAAATAACATTATAACATTATATGTCTTTGTTACTTTTGATCAATTTAATGCATAAGTATTCAAATTAGCGGGTCACATATGTAAAAAAAAGAAAGAAAAAAAAAACCTTATGGTACCTATATATTATGCCTCCCAACCATTTTTAACTTGACAAAGCATCTTAAAAACACAGTTCTAAAGGCACGAGATGAGACACAAAAGCCAAAGACAACTATCAGAATGTGTATGCAATTTTTTAAAATAAACATACTATAATACTTTATTGCACAAAACAGTGTGACTGTGTGTCCTCACATTTCTCACAGCAGGCGATTTAGAGCCAAAAAAAAAACGGTCTTGAAATTCATTCCTGTAGGTGGTGAATGTGTTAAAGTGCTGTTTGGATGGATGCAGCAGTGATGCTTTAAAGAGCGATGCTTTAAACTTCACTGTAAGAGTTGACAGTCTAACAGTACACTTAAGAGCATCACGCTGTCCGCATGTCAAAACCCTTTCTGAAAAGTTGTGAAATCTTGGTATTTATCCCTTTAAAAGCACAAAATAGTAAAGCGAAGACAGAAATTAGAAGCAAAATTTAGATTAACTAGCCCATCCCCACTCCTTACTGCCAAACACAGTCTTACATCTCCTTACTCGACACTTACTTTTGACTTTCCCCCTCTCTCTGCCCTCCTCCTCCTCTTTTGTTTCCTCTGATCCTCTTAAGTGCTGCTGCAGAAACACTACAAGAAAGAAAGAAAGAAAAAACAAAGGTCATTATTACAATGAAATGGACGGAGAATCACACACACAAAAACGACAATGAGCACATTTCCAATTCTGTGCCAGGCACTCAGATGAGGCTAGAGTCAATTATGCCTCGGCTTAGCCTATTCTGCAACCCGATTCAATTATTTAAATGCTAAATTTGCAATGAAACCTATGAGAGAATTAAAAAGGCATAATTTGGACCACAACTGATTGTGGGTTATTGCTTTAAACCACTGAATATTGACAATAAATGAACACAGTCAAGTACTGGGTGTGTTGTCAATGAGTGAGCAATACTGGAGGAACGATGACGGCTTGTCTGCGTTGCTTTTAATATCTGTGACTGTGTGTATATATGGGTTAAATCACATGCACAAGGAATTTTGATTGGACATGGCCTATTTTTTCTAACAGTGGGTGTTGGAAACAGGAAAGAACAACAAAGAAGCCTTCAGACACAGGCTGGATCAGGGCTATGCCAAAGTTAGTCTAAATAAAGCTCACAGTGTAACCGATATGGGGTAGAATTAAGAATGTCAAAAGTGCTGGAACCAAGTCGATACTAAAAGAAGAATTATCAGACTCAATTTGGTACCAGACTCTTTGTGGTCAAGCCATCTGTGAGGAAAAAATTGGTGTGTGGCTGTTACGAAAATTACAGTAATCTACAGCAAGAGCAGAACGGCCTGACTTAACCCAGAGAGAATGCGGTTTATAGATGAACAACATGATGAGGGTAAATGACAGACATGTTTCATTAGTGCTAACGTCACAGATGAAGAGTCCATGAAGAGCCTTAAACACACTTACACACTCCGTCCCTCCCTCCATGCATCAGCGGAAAAGCATTTATCCGTGTCTACAGACTCACACACCTGTCTCTCTTCTCTCAGAGCGATCATTGCCTTAATAAGATGAGCTCACATATGGCAACTCCTCTGAATCTGTGACAAATATCTGAATCAAATACTACCATAATGCATACGGTGTTGCCTAATATTCTTTTTATATTTATTCATTTATTTATTTATGCATTTATTTATTAATCACTAGACAATAATCCATGATAAATATGTTAGTGCCATCCATTATAACATCTTGAAAACAAAAATTACTTTGCCATTGTGGAAATATATATTAAAAAAAATTATTATTATTTTTTGTGATTTTTTTATTATTAATGGAAATAAGACAAGAAGCAAACAAAAATGCTTATATACACAATGTGATTTCCAAATATTTTGTTCTGATAAACAAATACAATAGAACAAAGAAAATAAAACAATAGTAATAACGATATAACAATGATGATAATATTATATAATTATATACTTTATATATATATACCCATAAAACACCCATAAATGAAAATACTGTCATCATTTTCTCACTCACAATTTTATTTATTTTTTAAAGGTCCTATATTGTCAAAACTGAAATTTCCTGGCTTTTTTCATGATAACTGAGGTCTAGTTAACCTAGCTAACCTAGCTAGCTAACCACGAAACCAGATAGGCCGACCTGTAACGTTACACTTATATTAATTAGACAGACCAAAATCTACCTGTTCTCAGCAGAGCTCCTGAGAAATGAGCTGTAAAAATATATTGAGATGGTTTTTGGTACTTATACGGCAAATATATATTCTTAAGGCCATCAAAACCTAAAATAAAACTCCAGAAAGGTGTAAAATATGGGACCTTTAAATGTTGGTAACCAAACAGTTGACTTCCAGAGTACGGAAAAAAAATACTATGGAAGTCAATGGCTACCATCAGCTGTTTGGTTACCAACATTCTTCAAATGATCTTCTATTGCGTTTCACTCATGAGGGTGAGCAAATGATGAGAGAATTTTCATTTTTGTGTGAACTATCCCTTTAATATTTATATTATTTAAATGAACTAGAACATCCACTCATTCTGTAAACTCAGTAAATTCACATATTAGTTTGCTATTCTGAATATAATCTGTCTTCCAACATCATCCCATCAGAATCTGTGCATGTCCATTCATTCTGATGTCTTTCACATATGCCGAGGTTGCCCTGGGCTATTTGATGATTTCAGAGGCTCGGTGTCGAGGGTCAAAGGGATTTGGGTGTGGGCAGAGAGGTGGGCTTGAAACGTTAAGCTCTAGCTATTTCACTGCTGCCCCAATGTATGTTCTCATTCAGTGTGTTTCAGTGCGTGTATGTTGCCAGTCACCGTAAGTTTGGGCTCCTTAGTGGACTCACCAATGAGAAGCAGATGTGTGTAGTCATGTTTCTGAATTCTGATCTCTTTCTGTCGCTTTCCTCCTCAATCACACACCCACATACATGCACATACAGGTTCATAGCCAAAAGGCAAGTCATTCTCTTTTACTCCAGCCAGTCTGCATGATCTGATCCAAGCATGCACACAAAACACAAAAACTTATCAACAAACTGCACAATGTCCATAAAGGGGTATTCCATAAACTTAGCGTTGAAGCATTTAGGAGCCAGCGAGCCAGAAAAAAAGCCTCTGTGAGGAACAAAGGCTGTCCGTAATCAGAGCTTTTAGGCGTAAGTTGTCCAAAACATTCAGAATTTTGTTCAAAACTTGTGAGGCGTGACGTGCCAGAACCCGAACATTTCTAAAAATATTTTCCCAAAGAAAGCGGAGGGCTGTTTCAGTAATCTGTCCCGCAGCTAGAGTCGGTCCGCTCCTGGCGCACAACACAACGCTGTTCCAACACAGTGAAAAACCCACCAAAAAACTGGCAAAAACTTCAAAACCTGCAGTTACCACTCATTAAACACACACACCGCAACCGCACAGCGCTGATCGACAGATGAAAGAAACGTCAGGGTCGAAAGTTAAAAATGCAGATCCTTTGCTGGCATTCCCTCATTCAAGCATCAATCCATCCAGAACTAGAGGGAGGAGGGTGACTTGTGCTGAATGAGGGTGAGCATGATGTGATGTTGGGAAAGATCTTTAGCCAGGATGGGCTCGGATACTCGGCTGGGAAAGTTTACGGCTGGAAGTAATGAAGAACCCATACACACATACAAAGAGGCAAAACACACTGTCTGGAAGCAACCACTGAACCACAAGATGACCTTTATGATCAAGAACACACACGCACACAGACGTAGTCTGCAAACAATTGTAGACCACCAAACGCTCTTTATAAGCACACATATGCATAAAAACACACAACACAGATTTAAGGTTGACTCTGGAAACACTGATGGAACCACCACCATCTGTGATCTCACAAACACAAACACACACACATACACACACACAATGATTTGACAGAGAGGTGGGTGTGAGTGAGGACAAAATGGACAGGACAGCAGGAGGTAATGTTACAACTGACACCATCAACAATTACCACAATACTGCCAAACGCGAAACTCCAGTGTGATTGAGCTTAAGACCCTCACATTCAGGGCATTCCAGAGATTCTTCCAAACAGGACTTTGACCTATTCTGAGTGAACTCTGACCTTTCAGAGTATACAGTTACCGCTTTTCTATTTTTTTTAAACACCCAAAATGATTTAATTCAGTATCTTTCTGAGGTGGCTTTCATTTCACTTGCAAATAGATAGAAAATTATTTATTTTTATTCATTTCTTTATTGATTTATTTATTAAGTAAATGCAGTAAATGTGTATATATAATTTACGTTTATTAAATAACATATTTCTTCAATATATAAATTATTAAATATTAAATATAATAAATAAGATAAGATAAATAAGATAAATCAATTTATGCATACATTTTAGATCAACAGGGAAAATAAAAGTGGCTGTAGTAACTGCACAGTGTCAAAAACAGACGAGTGTGTGTCCATTAACTGAATGTGCATCACATTGAGCTATTCCAGCACTGCTTGATTATAATAGAGGCAATCTAGTTTGGTTTTGAATTGAGTTGCTGTTTCAAAAACTACATAGTGAGAACATTATCGATAATAGTTCCTGGGTCAAGAGGGTGCAGAGACAAATTTTACAGTCTAGAGTCACATTTTCTTCTGTGGAAATTCACAGAATGGGTTGATTGTGCATCGACACTTGCATCAGAACCTGCACTGTGTTGGTGAAAAACATGTAAGCATTAGTGGTTCAACGGATCACAAATCTCCCGTTTCGGATCACATTACGGGTTTTTGACCCACAGATCGGATCATTTTTCGGATCAGCAAGAAAAGAAAAATATTTCAATTTAACTTACTTTCCATTTATTACTTAAAGCAAAGTACTTATTTGATACCACAGTAAATACTACTAGATTAACTAGGAAAGTTTAAACATGATTAAAGCGACAAGAGAACAGGCAGTAAAAATAAGAACAAATACACAAATTACAAGCATAGATAAATACAACAGAATATGTTACAAATACGAATACGAAATACAAATACAAATAAGGTTGGTAGTATTCAAATACAGAAATGTAATTATTAGGGAAAATAACACTGCATAGTGTTCACTGTATAAATTAAATATAGATTTTTATTACAGCTGTTTTGCTGTTTGATGATCATCAATGACAGCAGCAGTATTTATAGGCCGCTGTCCCTTTAAGACCTGATGCACGGATCCGATATAATGATACACATCACATCCGATTTATTTCTTTCTTCTTTCTCTCAGCTGTTTTCATTCACTTGAGACATAACTGACTGCGTTTACCTGAATGATTGTCGAGATGGGTATTTTGTCATAATTTTATGTGTATGTGTCTGTTCAGAGGATTCAGAAGAGGATTCAGTTCGGTGTTCGCGCGGCGTCTATAACGCGTGTGCGTGCTTCATGTGTGTGCGGCTGTGCGCGTAGAGAACAGCGCACGAGTAACGAATCGAGTTCCCTTTCACCTTTTCTCTCTGGAATTGTTTACAATTTGCTTGCTTGAGTAAATACGAACAAATGATAAACTTATACTCTATTATGGTTAAAATTTGCAATTAATCCGCTGATCACATGCTTGCCG